GTGTGCCTTGGCATTCCACACTGAGCTGCCTTTAATGGAGAGGACATTTTGTCCAAAAGTGGTCCGTCTACGGTGGACCTCACAGTCTCCTCTGGTTTCTGAGTGCAGCGTCCAGTGGGTTTTTTGTGGATGAATTCCCCATTACTTAAAATTGTCAAAACTCAATAAATTGTGTTTTTCAAGGATGGTATGAATTTGGCTTTCTGTCAAACACCTCGATAGTAATGGAATAGTTTGCTTCCTTCAGTTTCAAGACGTTAGAAATCAACAAATGTGGAGAAACGTGTCTTCACTGACCTCACCACCTTCAAAAAACTCACCTGTTCAATCTGGCTTTTAATATGTGATTGTTGTTGTATTGCTTGATTTTAATTTCACTATTTATTTGTTGTTCTTTTCTTTTCACTATCTCTGTAAAGCGACTTTGAGCACCTGTAAAAGCGCTTACAAAATAAATCTATTATTATTATTATTATTATCATTATTCACTGGACAGGAAGGGGACGAAAAACCTTATTCTGGAAAGTAACTAAAGCTGATAAATGTAGTGGATTAAAAGGTACGATAGTTTCCCTTGAGATGTCTGAGAGGTGAAGTATAAAGAATATTTAAATGGAGTTTAAAGTTAAGCTTAAGTTCCTTAGATGTACTTTAGTGGGCGGCAGTGGCTCTGACCGATGGGTCACCGGGTCACGGCCATACAGTCTATGGTCACGGCACGATCATTTCACAGTGTGTAGTACTGTGTGCATGTGTGACAAAAATAAAGAGGGTTCAATCCTCGTATTCAAAGTATAGTACTTGGGTAAATGTGCTTAATCTACTCAAAAATATGGAGTTCTAATCCTACTAGTAATCATTTGGTTTTGATCATTAATATCATTAGTTAAAACATCTGTGTATATGGTGATGTACAATTTGTAAATATTCATTGTTGTACATTGTACTTTTTATGATATTATAAATATTTGTATTATTTTACTTAATATTCTTAATCCTCAGTTTAACTTGAACTCCTTATGTGTATATTTTTATTTTATCTTTGTTTGTTTTTTGGGGGGAAAGGTTTGAATAGAGCTACCTAATTTCCCCGGGATAAATAAAGTATTTGGATTCTTACTCAAAAATTAGAAAAGCACATTTTTCTTTATTTAGCGTTTTGAGAATTAAGCCCACATGTTGAGAATACAATTGAATTGTTGAGAAAAAATGTAATATGTCAAGAAAGTCAAACATGAGTTATAGTGTTAGATATATGAGACAAAATAAATCAGAGGAATATTTGAAGCGTCCAAAAACAAAACTAATAGCATTAGCACGGATACAGAAAGTCTGACTTTAGCACCTGTACCTGAACGAAGCACAAGCCCCACAAAGGAGCTTATTCTTAACCCCAGGCTGAAAAGGGCATAGAAAGTGTGAACGTTTCCTCCCTTAAGATGATCTGCTGTTAGAGTAGAACCAGCCCACGACTGCCCCAGATCGTTTTACTGTGGGAGGGAAATGATGCACTTACTGGATTTCTTCTTGCATCGCAGGCAGAGCGCTGAGAGCAGACTCAGAGACAGAACCGACCCGACGGTCAGGACCAGAACGTCGGAGCTTCCTATCATCACTGGCACACACACACACACACAGAAACACAGATATGATGTGGCTTCTCAGTGGACACACTTTAAAGACATGTTCTCTCCTTCATGGCTGAAGTAGCTGCTGTCTTCCTGTTGAGACAGAGCAGTCCTCAGGATGTGGTTGGCTAAAACAAAATGAAACCTCAACTGTATCTAAAACTGACACCTACGCTTCGGAAGCATCAGTAGTGAAACTGAGTACATTTAGACCCCTTTAAGTACTTCTTATACTTTACCAAAGTGTTTCCATTGTAGGCAACTTTATACATCAGTTCCATTACATCGATTTGATATGATAATAGTGGATCAAATGGAATAATATATCGTAGTTACGGTATAGGATGAGACACGATAGCTGAAAAGATACAATACTATATAACATAAGATATGATACAAATAATTTAAAAAAACATAAGAGTTATAATAAGTAACTAAGTACATTTACTCAAGTACTTAAGTAACATGTTGAGGTACTTAAACATACTTGAGTATTTCCATTTTGTGCTACTTTGTACTTCTACTCCACTGCAATTCAGAGGTACATGGTGTACTTTTACTCCACTACATGTATTTAATACCTTTAGTGTACAGATGTGGATGAATGATGAGAAATATAATCAAGTGTTAAATCAGACTTTAGTTCCACCTGGAGTAAATCCACAAGCTACCCTGCAGTATACAAAGTCCTTCAAACTAGCTGCACCTTTACCAGCTTTGAGAACACTTTAAAGATCAATCATTATAAAACATATCATATATATTATTCTGAAATGGACCAATCTGCACAATGAATACTTTTACTGTCGCTACTTTAACTATATTTTGATGATAATACTTTTGTACTTTTACTTGAGTGACATTTTGAATGCAGGACTTTTATTTGTGAGACGACTACTCGATGATTGATGTATCAGTGATAATATGTGTGGTTTTAATCATCAACTGCAGGGATTTCCTGTTCTGAGCTGTGCTGCTAAAGCCACTAACCACCTACTAAATATTGTTTTTATGTGTCTAATGAAGACTGAATGAGATCAGAGGCATAGTGTCTCTTTTACTTCACTTTGGAAGTGGATACATTTTTTCCCAGAAACCTCTCTGTGTTGTTCACAAGGAAGTATTGCAATGTGTTTTTACCCCCCTAATGTGTTTTTTTTTAATTATATAGCCTATATATATATATATATACAGTCTATGGTTTTTACTCAAGACTTTTCAATTCCTTTTCCACCAATAATACTTCTTCTTGTATTGTACTATTTGTGCATTTTGTGCAGAAATTCTTTACAAAGCCTAAAGGTGGGGTAGGTAATTCACTTCAGAAACACTTTTTGTTATATTACATGGAATACTCTTAACATCCCGATAGCAATGAATACATTAAATGCTTTGACAATAAATACATTAAAAAATGTCCTCTGTGGAAGCCGTGGCGCTGTAAAAAGCACGACCAATCATCCGAGCCGGCCCGGGTCAGATAACTGGATGGCATACCTGCCTGTCAGCCTTCCATCTGTGCACAAACTTATCTCGTGCCCTCATTGGTCATGTGCACGTTCGTGTGTGTTGGAGGAGGGGCTCTGTAAGGAAGTCTGAAGGAAGGGGCAGATTTTTTTCGCCTGCGTACTTTCAAATTCTTGCGCACTCGAGCTGGTTTCTCCATTCTTACCTACCCTACCTTTAACCAAATAAACACAGATAGAGACATAACTTATCTACATAGCTATCGACAAATCAGGAAAAAAATGAAATAATAATACATGGCAAAAACATAATGGAGACATTATTAGGTGTACCACTTTAAGTGTCAGTTCTTCATGTTAATTATACATGTTTTGTGCTCTCTACTTTCCCATATTTAATCTAAAATATGAACTTGGTTTCTAATTCTCATTCTCATTTTCTCCATTCCGTAATTTTAGGTTGTTCCATCGTGAGTTGATTAGGTTATTATCTTTTAGCCAATTCCTTGTGATTTGTTAATGATTGCTATTCGTGTCACTGAAAGGGTTAGGGTTAGGGTGAGGGAATCTTTTTGTTTTATTGCCTCTGGTGTTTTCGCAAGTAATAGTGGGTTCTTGTTTCGAAAAATGCCAACAATAACTATTTCCAAGAAGCAGCACAAAACATTACAGGACCAAAACATATAATCATCGTTGTCCTTCTGCTCTCCGCACTCTCTCCAGCATTTTGAAGCAACATTTTGTTTGTGTATATTGTGAATTTAGGGTGTCTCGAAGTAACGAATGAATATCTTTCATGTGTATTCTTCCAGTAGTTTGAATTTGTTTGAATGTTTTTGCAAATGTGTTCCCAATCTGCTGTATTGTACTTTTATTTGATAACATTTGTTATTTCAACAAATTAGTTATGAGTTTTTTATTTATTAAGAAACAGTGCAGAGTAAAAAAACGTAAAATTACTTAAGGTAGCGACAGTAAAAGTAGTCATTGTGCATATTGGTCCATTTCAGAATAATATATATGATGTGTTTTATAATGATTGGTCATTAAAGTGTTCTCAAAGCTGGTAAAGGTGCAGCTAGTTTGAATGACTTTGTATACTGCAGGGTAGCTTGTGAATTTACTCCAGGTGGAACTAAAGTCTGATTTAACACTTGATTATATTTCACATCATTCATCCAG